CGTATGAATAATAAATAGTGTCTCATTGTGCGCGTGTAAAATATAATAAATAATATATTTATTTGCAAAACAACAATAAGAATAAACTAATCAACGATATAACAACAACGAGAAACGATAGCAACAGTAACGAAGGAAAATAGCAATAAAGAAACAACAACATAATAATTCCTAACGTAAAAAAATGTGTGTCGTTTAACTGTTCAACGTTTTCTTAAGAACTCGACTCGTCAGGTATGTACGATCATCACAGTCGACGAGTTTCCGAATTGCTAAAAAAAAAGAAGAAGGAAATTCGATACCCCCAGCCTCACGGCATGAGAAGGTTAGAATTTCCGCGCGTCCGCTACAGAATTCTTTTTAGTTTAGTTTAAATATCAGTAAAAATGTAAAAGTTGCTTTGAATATATGTATAACTGTTCACAGCATCGTAGGTGACCTCCTTTACCTTTGACACCTTGTATATTTAAAAAAAGATAACTTAACAAAACATCATATTTGTTTATTTCTATAACAGAAATAATACAAAATAAAAATATACAAATATGTTTTGTTAAGTTTTTATTTTAAATATCGGTAACAATGTAAAAGTCACTTGGAGTCTATAATTATACAGACCATAGAATAACCGTTGGTTATGTCTTATCAGGACAATCGAGTACTACTATCTGGTTGCGCGGGTTACGGTCGGTTTACGGTCAGAATTCCTGGACATAATACAAAAAAACTACTATGTACCTGATCCATCGTCAATTCCTGTATAGGGATATGTATATACGTGTATGCAGTCCTTAACACTTTTGCGACAGGCAATAACCGGACAACACGTTTAGCTGAATACGGTATACAGGGTGTCCAAAAAGTTACTGAAAATCAGGAAATGAGAGGTTCCTGAGGTCATTTGAAGTAACTTTTAACGTAGCGCAAATGCAATCCGCGGTTTTGTTTACGAATTATTAACGAAAAACATAGGCCAATGTGAAAGGCGAGATCAGCCGGCGCATGACGGCCGAGCCAATAAGCGGAAATGGACTTCGTCTACTTGTTGGCTCGGCCGCCTTGGTACGTGACGCATCAGGGGAACTCTTGCGCATGCGTCGAATGCCCCCACTCCTTGCGTAACCTCTTTTCATGGCTACTCTGCTCCCAAATCCTGTCGCGTGTCTCACTCACCCGTGATCGTCTAAATGCTACACACACTCGCATAAAGCAACAGGCACGCGCGCCTGATGTGTTCCGAGCCGAAAGAGGCGACCACGAGGGAGCGAGACGCTGCAACGAGAACCAGTAGGCGTAGCCCTCATCATCGCCGTGTTGCATGCAGTTAATTCCAAGCCCTGCTCTATGTGTATTTTATGTATACGTGGAATTAGCTATAAGAAAATCAATTGTAATAATTTCATTTCCTTCTGTGACTAGTATTAAATCAAATTGAGTGTTACCTGCTCGTTATTTTGTTATGTGCAAATTCTCTTATGTGAACACATTTGTCTCCTAATTAGATTATACAACGAAAGTTCTACTGTACACCATATATTCATCTATTGTTAAGTTTATTTATATTAACGTATTTACATATTTATTATATATTATCCGTGTTAATTTTTAAAAACTCCTGATCGCTAATTCCGACATAATTAATAAGACCACATTAAAATAAGCTATAAATAAACAAAAAATATTTAAAAAGAATAAGCCATCTTCGTCCCACCAACTTTTTTGAATATTTTTTTTATCTATTTTCAAAATTGAAGCTTTGAGTTAAAATGTTGTTATTATTATACTATATTATTAATATTTGGAGTATTATGGAAACTGTATTTGAGAGAGTATATAAAATCGTTCTGCATAAGAATAATTTTTATAGCTCTTACAGTTAAATTTAAAATTAATGGTAACGAAGAGAGATAGTATGGGGTTTGGGATACCTTGAGAACAAGACTGCGAATGGAAATCGGGAAAATCGGGAGAGTTCAGTGGCTATGCGAGGAAATCGATCAGCTATGAAGAGAGAGGTCACGGATTCAATTCCCGTGTGCGGTTCCCTTTTTTTCTCTCAATATCTTACAGTAGTTTGCACAGTCACAATCAGCACACGAAAACCGGTATAATTTATCCACTCTCGTATAAAAGTAGTATTACTACTACTAGTACAAGAAAACGAAAAAACTTCGTATTGCCGATCAGTGTCATTTATTCAACTTAATATGATAAAAAACTTCGTTTCAATTATTCTTGATTATCATCGCCTTGCTTTATACAGTAAGTTATTCAGAATGGTTAACCAAAAACCTATTGATATGTAATATTTCTTTCTATACATTGATTTACAAAAATATAAATCCGTGTAAATATCCGCAGACAAACTGGCATTTATGACAAAATGGAGTAGTTGCCATTTAAAACAGTAGAGAGATTAGAAGATTTCTTAAATATTGATGCATTATTTTTAATCTAGTAAAATTTTTAAAGAGTGGATAAACTTTCTATATCTGTTTCTATCTCTCGGAATTGTTGAGGCGGACAATTTTTATTTTCTGAAATTGCTCGGAAGACAAATCTTACCTGGGCTATCCTCATTCCTGCTCGAAGACTAGACTGAATTTGTCCAAGATGCATCACTCCTGTGACCCCAACCACCTCCAGCATACCGTCCCAATGGTTTGGCGTATGGAACTGATCTACCTTGGTGTCTGGTCCCCAGGGATTCGCACCTGAGCCCCAACTATACGCAATCCAAACAAAAGTGGGTATAAGAAACTGTTCGCGAGAAATGCCCCGTTATTTCTTTTCATCGAGGTCCCACATAAGGGGGTAGATCACCCTAACGGTTAAAGAAAAATCTATTCTTTTTAATTTAATGTTGACAAAGTTACGAATTTATAGAATATTATATCAATGCAGTTTTTCAAAATTCCGTCAGTTAGCGAAATTATTATAATATGCAGGGTGTCCCATTTGAAGTAACACGCTCAATGATCTTCAAAACTATATCTTGTTTGAAATGATGTCCCTCTTGAAACTCGGTAAGGTTCATTTGAAACATTTTTTTAAACAAATTATAGCTTAGATTCATAGCATATTCGTCTGTTTGAAATCCGATACAGCGAAATATTAAAAAAAATTCATAACATCTCTGTTTTTATTTGAATATGATGAAATCTCTAAGAGGGTAACGAATATTGGTCTCCAATTCCAGTTCGTATATAAGTGAAGTAGAAATTATAAAAAATCTCGTAGACATGTGATTTAAAAAAAAAAACATACATACCCTTTAGTATTTCGAGAGGAGAGTCAAATGGTTACACTAGTTTTTAAATGCGTAGGCGTTTTCAAGGTTATATAAAGGTCATCTTGTTTTTTTTGTCACAAATCTATATTTTTTATTTTGGAATCATATTCTACGTAACAAAATGCACAATTCTCGCTTGAAATATTTTTTTTGTAGTATGATGTTCTCAAATGAAACAAAATATCTTCCAGAAGAAAGTAACGTCGTCTTTTTAATAAAAAGAAAAATTATCCTTTATACGAACGTGAAAAATCAGTTAAATATCTTAAAAAATATTGAACTTACAAACAAATGTTTCGAACAAAAGTTGTGCATTTTTTTTACGTAGAAGACGATCCCGAAATAAAAAATATAGACTTATGGTAAAAAAGCAAGATGACCTTGAAATAACCATTAAATCGCCCACGGATTAAAAAACTAGTAGTGCCATTTGACTTCCCACTTGAAATACTAAAGGACGTGTGTCAGTCTGCTTCTTTTTTTTTAATCACGTGTCTACGAGACTTTTTATAATCTCAACTTCCATGGGACACCCTGTATACAGGGTGGTCAACTTGGGTGGTAAACTTTGTTAAATGAAGTATTTCAGTATAGAGAGGACTATATGTATACAGGGTGTTACCGGACGTAGTATCATTGGATGGGTATGCGGTAACCCACATGCGAAAATGAGTTGAAAAAAAGGAGTAACATTTTTCCGTTTGAAGCTTCGTTTACGAGAAAATTGATTTTGAAAATGTATAGATAATATGTTTATTATTAGTTGTATAATATGTATAATATGGTGGTAATAATTGTTTTACAGCTGAAGTAGGTCCCGTCACTTTCAAGGTCACCTTCACTTTTTAAGGTAGAATCATATATTTAGTTATACATTAGTTGATGCAGCTCTATATTTTTTACAAAAAAGAATTTACCAATGTACGTCGTCGTAAATTATTCAACTAAAATTAGATATGGGATATTTGCAGACCATTTTATATCTCGAATGCATTTTGTTGTAAGTAATCCTGAGCTTCTTTGCATCGATGAGAATTTGCATTATCATACTAGAAATAAAAATCGTCCGAATCAATTTTGTTTGAGTTCTACTGTTCTAAACTTGGTATGAGAAAGTTTTCTAGTACACGAATAGAAAATGTCAGGGTCCACATGTTTGCAGAAAATGCACATTTGTCCAACTCCTTGAGCTGTCATACAGCTGCATGTCTTCGTAACATAAGAAATAGCGTATTCTTTTTTTGTAAAGTTAAAATATTTCCTAAGCTAATCATTTTTTACTATAGAAAATATTCAACTGCACCAACTAATGTATAAAAACTATATATGATTCCATTTTAAAAAGCGAGAAAAATGCGTGAAACCATGAAATCTCCGAAACGACGAAATAACGAACATATTCAAATGCTACTTCTTATTAGACCACCTTGAATATACAGGGTGTCTAAAAATTATTGTAGAAGCGAGAAATGAGGGATTCCTGAAGTTATTCGAAGTAACTTTTCCCTTGCGAAAATGTTCTACGAGGCTTTCTTTACGAGTTATTAAGGAAAAACATTGACCAATAAGAGATTGCGTACGGCTGACGCCCCGCCCTGTCCTGCGTCAGACGCGTGACGCGGCATTGGCCGCAAGGGTGGAGCACCGGCTGCACTCGCTTTCCGATTGGTCTGTGTTTTTCGTTAATAACTCGTAAACAAAGCCTCGTAGAATATTTTCGCTAAGGAAAAAGTTTCTTCAAATGACCTCAGGAACCACTCATTTCCCGCTTGTACAATAATTTTGGTAAATATATGTACACATACATGCAGTGAGAAGTTATAAAATACCTTAAAATATTCAGAATAATAATTCCTTCGACTTGCGGCAACTCTACCAGTTTTCCGTCCACCTCCAACCGAATTTTCGTATGCAAATCTTTACAAGTTGTTTTTTTCATCATCTGCCGGAGTGCTATCGTTACATATGTCCCCTTGTTACGAATTCTGCTCCTAAACTTGTCCGGATTTTCTTCTCTGGCCTTGTGGAATGCCAGACATAGCTCCGCGTCGACGCCAATGCCGAAATAATTGTTCATTACGTATATTTGCGAATTGTCCTCGTTGGTCGCGCCGACTGTAACATACGAACATTTTCACACTGCACGTATTGTAAAATTGGAGACTTCGCGCGAAAAAAATGTTGTAATAATTATTCTGTTGAGATACAAGTGTTTTCAAATATTAAGACCAAAATTACCAAGTGCTCAACACAGCTAATGCATTATAAAAATAATTGGTCTCTCTAATTGTTCTTCAGCTTGTAAAAAAAATGGACAATGTGGGAAGGGAAGATAGGATTATTCGAGCCTCGCGGCTCATTTTTATATGTTATGTATGTAGAATAATCGTATGTCCTCTTCCCAAATTGTTCATTTTTTTACACGTTGAGAGACAATTGGAGAGATTGCACAGATTTCCGTGCAAATTCTTTTAAGTCTTTTCAAATACGACATTTGACAAAAATTAAAATTAATGAAAAATTTCTTTAGTCATCTGAAAGATTACCCATTGTAAAAGGAAAAGAAAAATTCTACTAGGTCTTTGTTAATTTATACATTGTCTTGCATTTTAAAAGTTTGGACGTGTCATAAATTCATAAATATCCGCAATCTAATAATAACAAAATTGGAATTATTCGGATTTCGTATGATTTTGATTATAACATGTGACTAGATGAAAAACATATTAGAAAATTTCTAGTAAAATCATTTTTATAACTTTACTGATAATTGTAGGAAGCAAGTCAAATGAAAAATAATAGTTAATTTGACCTTTCTAGAAGTCAATACATTTCAATATCAACATTGTTCGCAAATATCCTGTTAGAAAATATGTAAATACCACTGCAGTTAGGGTTATTCGATACAATTAGAGGGAGGGGGGGGGGAGTTCTAATTTCGAAATTGTTTAAGAATAACAAGCCCTAAAAATTTTCAGTTTTTGCTGATTTTTACGAAAACTGCCTTCACGTTTGAGTTTATACAGGGTGTCCCATAATTATATTAACAGCCGGAAAGGAGTAATTCCTTAAGTTATTTGAAGTAACATTTTCCTTAGCGAAAATGCAATCTACGGTTTTGTTTGCGAGTTATTAACGAAAAACATTGACCAATCAGAGACGAGCTCGGCTGGCGCGAGGCGGCCTCGCGAATCCGAGGCCTCAGGAATCACACCTCTCTAAATATTAGCGTAATTATAAGACACCCTGTATAAATTCAAACGTGAAGGCTGTCTTCGTAAATTCTTAAACAATTTCGAAATTAGAAAAACGATGATTTAAACCCGAGGTACAAAAGTGATCAGTTCGGCATGGAATGTCCCGTAATCAAGTAAGTATGTATAATTTAACAAACCTCCTGGATTATTGATCAACTGTTTGTCTTCTTTTTCTTCCGTGTGGAAAACTACCGTCCACCTATCCAGCTGAGATTCCTCTGCATCGATGACATCTCGAAGCAGATTCAGGGGATCTTCGTCACCGGTGTAACCAGCACCCCAGCATAGAACACGCGCGAGATCGTTTCCTGTTCCCAGAGGAACGATAGCGCAGGCAGGTGATGAACATTCGCTGTCCTGCCCCACGTTATCCAAACACTGTAGCACCCATCCGATTGTTCCGTCCCCACCGCAAACTAAGATTTTGTAGTCTCTTATATGCCGGAAAACGTAGAGTCTGAAACGGAACGTAGGAAATCGATTTTCAACAAGTCTCAATTCTACAGTGATTGGAGTAATGCTCGCTTAAATTTGCAGGGTTTTTGTACAGCTCGACAAAATAAGAGAATAGATGCAGCGGACGAAATAAGAGAATAGATGCAGCGAGCGAAAGCGAGAACGTAGACGTAGACCGCCGTGCGTCGCGACCGTCGAGACTTGGTATTTAACCTTTTAGGTACGGCTGAATTCTGCACGAGGCTATTTCCTTGGACGGCAGATTCTGATATGTACTGTACAGAGGCTGATGCTGTATATTCCGTCTGTATATTGTTAACACTGTTGTAAGTCGATGTGAAGACAAAAGAAATGTAAAACAATGCATAGGAAGATGATTATTTAATTCAAATGGAGAGCGAGTGAGCTACTAGAGCGAGCCACTACAGGGTGTCCCAAAAATGTCTCGCAATCCGAAAGAGGCAGGTTCCTCAGGTCATTTGAAGCAACCTTTTCCTTTACAACAATTTTCTCCGAGGCATCGTTAACGAGTTAGTAACGAAAAACAGTGACCAATGAGAGGCGAGCTCAGCTGGCGCGAGGTGACCGAGCCAATGAGCGGAACTGGACTTCGTGCGCTGGTTGGCTGGGCCGCCTCGCGTCAGCCGTACTCGATTCTTATTGGTCACTGTTTTTCGTTAATAACTCGTTAACGGTGCCTCGGAGAAAATTTTTGTAAAGGAAGAAGCTGCTTCAAATGATCCGAGAAACCCGCCATTTGCGGATTGCGAGACATTTTTGGGACACCCGGTATAGTGGCGCGTCGTTCAGAGAGATGACATCCGCGAAAGCCACTATAGTGGCGTCTCGTTCAGAGAGATGATATATCCGCGAAAGCCACTATAGTGGCGCGTCGTGACTAAGAGGTTAAAGAGATACTACAACTAGCTGTACTAAAATAAACGTACAATAAAGAAAATTTCATTGTCGGTAATTCTTAACGTTTTCTTCATAATCGCGGTAACAATTAATAGTTCAGATTTTTCTCCGATTCGAACGAGTCGAAACATGACGTGAATAGGAGTGTTTTTGTGGATTTTGCATAAATAATAAAATTAAGACGGTACGAAATGATTAAATTGTAAAACTAGTCGGATTTATGTTATGTTTTGTCTAATTTTCATCGGACGAATCTCAACAAATCGTTGACACTTCATGGGAAAAGATAAGATAAAAATGACAAAATTTGAAAGTTTCATTATTGCATGATTAGCTTTAACGCTCATGACCAGTGTGACCTACGCGTAAGTTTCGTCGACAATCCCCTCTCTTACTCCACTTCAGTTTGTTGGTTAGTCAGGGGAAAGTGCGGTCGCGAGAGACGCTTCTACGTTGCAGACAAATGGTGACGCTTGGGTCTCGCGGACTGTAAGAACTTCAGAATTTATCTCCGCTTGTCTAAGGTTATGTCAGTTTTTGTCCAGCGCAAAGGTGGCTGAGGTTCTTACGGACCGCGAATATCGGTGACAGTGACAAAACATTTTTTATGTAAACTTCGGTATTGACTGCATGTCCCGTTGAATTGCATGTACGGTCGGTATCCATCATACGCGCATCGCGATACAAGCAGCCACGTGTGAAACGGGCCTAACTTGTATAGCAGGGACGCCGCGCCGCGCCGTACAGTGGTCCCAATCGATGAATAAGCCGTTCACGACGATTTCAGCAATGTTTTAAGACGTAAAGACAGTTTTATATAAGTCGTTGAATTCGTCTTGACGTCAGCTACAGCATTATTAAGTAAAAAAGATGCAGTGACAATTAAAAAATCAAGGTGACTTTAATTTTTTATTTGAAAAAAGTTTCTCTTTAAATTTTTTATATTGATGTTTATAAAAGACCGAGCACCAATTAATTTTGGTTCGAAACATTTTTTTGTCAAAGCACCGGAAATGAGTGAAAAATAAATGATGTTTGTAAATTTTTATTTTACAAATAGTACATGTCTCATACTTAAAAATGCTGTTGTCTATAGGAAATATTGCTCATAATTTATTTAGAACGTTAACATTTAATTGACTAAGGAGAATCGTCCTTAATATGTTTTAACACTCAACACATTGCGCTTTCTTTCAAAGTAGAATGATTTCTACATGCTTGTACCTGTATAATCATACCAACATCACTTACCCCAATGTCCATCCATGAAAATGATTTAATTAATTAGCACGAAACTTTGGACATTTTTTTATTATACTTTCATTAAACTCAACGAAGATTTTATTTATTGCAAACAATTTTGCAAAAGATGCCTCCAATTTTATGGTAGACATAACAACTCCCAGACATATCATTTTTTAATTACAAAAAATGGGTTGGCTTATTTTTGCTCGAGATTAATCGTAAACAGTTTTATCAAAATCAGTGAACCAACGATTGCGACCACTCCTTGTAAATAACTGTTCCACAATCCGACGAACATTTATGTCATGCTGCTTATCCCAAATAAACAAAGTTTTGCTGTAAAACATGCAGTTACAGTACAATTACGAGCATAAAGAATTAATTATTACGTACCCAGGAAGTGGTCCTCCATTGTCCAGATCGAACACTTGATATGGATTTAGAAGTTTACGAAAACTGGAGATCAACTGGAGTCCCTGGCAACCGCCAGATTTTACATTCACGAAGACTAGCAATGGTTGCACCCCTGACGGGACCATAGTTGGCTCAATACTCGGTAGCGGCATTACTATAACCATCAGAATCATCGAATACTGTATTAATCACATTTTTATGAAAATGAAGAACGTGAATACAGTAGAATTCCATTTATCCGACATGCTTGGGGGACACAACTGGATATCTGACTGATTTATCTATTCATATAATTGGACTTAAGTTTCATATAACTGGAATTTGCTACATATTGCTTTGAACACAAGAGAAAGCATTAATTTTACCATCATTTAACATGTATGTACAATATATTTCATCAAATTATAATTTATACATACTTTGATGTAATTAAAGTAATATTATAACTTGTAGAAGCATGATATAGAAGAACTATTCACATTGTGATTAAATATAGTAAGCGACAAATATTTACTATCTTATGTATTGGCTAATGCACTTAAGGATTTTGTAATAACAAGATTTTTTACATTGTTAAGGCACTGCATATTTTCCATGTTCATTTGTAATTGTGCTTCGTGCCTTTTTTCAGAGCGTCAAATAATTTCTTTGTCATCGATGCAAAGCAACACTCTTTATCACAGATATAATCGCACAGTTATGAATAACTGAATTAAATCGTTACTTATCTCACATCGCTACGCAAGAACACTAGGCTAAAATTTCACACCGAACCAAAACGAGTAAGTCGTATAATATAAAAAAAATTAAAATAATATAATATAATAAATTAAATATGATCTGTTTCACTGGTTATACAGGGTGAGTTATTTAACTCATTCTCCTTAACTTTTCTGGTGAACTACATGTTGTATAAAACAATATTTCAAACAAAAATTACTTGGTATAAAGTGCAGCGTAGACGGTAATAATTAATTTTTTGCCATTTTCCTTCTTCGTCAAAATATGAAGGTCATTTGACAAAATATGAAACACTAACCACATGTACGTGCTGATGTATTAATTGTAATGGACAATATTTTGAACATTTCTTGCATTAAAAATCAACTAAAAAATATCGCGACAAACACTAATTTACGAACCCTTGCACCTTTATAATTTTTATTCTGTATTTAATGTACTTTCAAATCCACGATTAAGTGTTATAGTTAAAAAAAAAACTCAGAATGACCTTATATCTTGATAGGAAAGGAAAATATAAAAAAATTAATTGTTGTCATGTGCACCCCTCTTTGTACCAAGCAACTTCATTCAAACATTTTGCTATACAATACGTAGTTTACAAGATGGAAGAGTTGAATGACTCACCGTGTATACGGACAGCAGAATTTTACTCTTATCTTAAAAAGTTAATTTTTGTAAATTATTTGCATAAATCGAATTTTATTATTATTTGTAGGATCTAAAAGATTTACAAGATACTATTTCTGCTAATTACCGTGATATTATTTGTATACTGCGGATTTTATGCAGAATTATTAACTGAATTGTTTTAATTTTATACGATTTTTTAAGGTGGTGGTTTGGTATTCAATATGTTCTTATAAGGTCGATGAATTATGAGATATTACCTAGAAGATGTTTGTCCTCGTACTTCGATTCTGCCAAAGTATACAATGCCCTGACTGCCTTATTTGCATCCTCGTAGATAATAACCATGGAGCCATATTCATAGTATATCGTACCAATTGAGGAGAATTTGTTTTCTAAACGAATTACATGAAAACAAAGTTATTACTATAAATGATTCTCGTCCAATCTTCTTTATTTGCTAATACCGATTACCTTTGCCTAGAAGCTCGGTCAATATAGTTTCATAAATCCTTTCCTGTTGATTCACTGGCAGGTTACCCACGAACAAAGCCAGATTAGGACCATGAGGATCTTCCTTCAGCTGCAAATAAAATCGCAGCAACTCCATCTGCCTGATCGAATCTTTGCCCAGTTGCTTGACGATCTCCCATGGCTTTTCCTCTCGGGACAAAACTCTCTCAGTAACTAGACAAAAGCATATATATGTGTACATCGCTATGCATCATTCGCAACAACTGTTAATTTATTAGAAATAATGTGGTAACTTTCTCCCATATACGTTACCCTCGGACACCTTTAGTTTCCGAGATATTCACAAAAATACATTTCAAATTCCAACACGAATATTACTGGGCTGTAGTGTCTTACGGTACATATTACAATTTTAGCACTGTTTACATACGAAGTTGGTTGTATTTCAATAGATGAGGGGGCAGGGAGGGGGGCGACTATATAGGGTGTCCCAAAAATGACTCGCAATTCGAAAGTGGCGGGTTCCTCAGATCATTTGAAACAACTTCTTCCTTTACAAAAATTTTCTCCGAGGCACCATTAACGAGTTATTAACGAAAAACAGTGACCAATGTGAGGCGAGCTCAGTTGGCGCGAGGCGACCGAGCCAATGAGCGAAACTAGGCTTTGTGCGCTGGTCGGCTGGGCCGCCTCGCGTCAGCCGTCCTCGATTTTGATTGGTCACTGTTTTTCGTTAATAACTCGTTAACGGCGCCTCAGAGAAAAGTTTTGTAAAGGAAGAAGCTGCTTCAAATGATCTAAGGAACCCGCCATTTCCGTATTACGAGACATTTTTGAGACACCCTGTAGATATCAAAATCCACGCGGGATGCAGAACACTGCAAACGTAGTTGATGACAAAATAGTTGGGTTATTAACTAATTTTAATGTGATCTTACAAGTGAAATCAACATAAATAAGGACCCCAAAACAATGTACAACGGTCGATATATGGCAAATGCTGTCTTTGTGTTATTTTATCATGAAACTCAATTGCCATTAACTTAACTAAATGAAATATCATCGGCTACTGAGGACGGCTTCTTCAAAATTTGCTGATCTCGAATGGGTCAAACGGTTTAACTTATACGCTCGTTAAACGAGATGCTATATTTACAAAATAAGGTTTAGTTATGTCTGTATTCTATTATTTCCAATGAAAGAGCAAGATTTTATTTAGTTTCATCATTTAGAAAGCATGTACAAGTAGAATCCCCGTTATATGAAAAGAATGGGGAAGAAAAATGTTCACATAACAGAATATTTACATATCGGAATAACAAGCGATTATCGTTCAAGATGATTTTTAATACTTGAGACAAAATGGAGTAAAATGAATAATAATTGTTTCTGTTTATAAATAACTCCGCACATATAATATAAAGGGGCAATAATATTCGGTAAATTTAGTAAGAAAAAAAAAACAATAATTTCATCCTACGGTAGCAAGTACATAAGCATGTGCGTTTACATACAGGGTGTCCCATAATTATGTTAACACCGGGAAAGAGGTGCTTTCTGAGGTCATTCGAAGTAACTTTTTCTTTAGCGAAAATGTTCTATGAGGCTTTGTTTACGAGTTATTGACGAAAAACAGTGACCAATTAGAGGCGAGCTCGACATTTTCGCTAATGAAAAAGTTACTTCAAATGACCTCAGGAATATTATAGAGATAGAATTATTAAATATGTATTAAATATAAGAGAACATTCACGTAAGGAGCTTCCAGTGTACATAGTGTCGCAACTCTTTCAATGTATTTATGAAAAATTAGATCTTTATACGATTTATAAAAATAGTATGCTTCGAATGGCATTCGTAAAGTACAAACATAATGTAAATACAACAAGTAGATATCTCTTCCATCACTTTTTCATTTTTTAGTCAGCATTGAAGGGGTTAATCGGATTACATGTATTTCGTGTGTAAAAAGTGAGCATTGATTTTTGATAAAAAAAAGTAGTCGCTTCATTTGAAATTATCTCTTTCAATTCAGTCGGAAAATATAATTTCCATAATGATCAGATTAAATTCAATTGATCAGTTATTTAAAAAAAGTGATTAAATGTGTTTCTAACGAGAAAAACTGAGGCTTACCACCGCGATCTAGAAGAATTTCGCTACATCTGTAATCTTCGGAATTGAAATTTTCTAAACCGAATTTCTGGAGCGCTTCTTCAATTAAGTTCGCAACCGTGGTGGTCTCAGTGACAGGTACAATGCAGAATGAGTCCGACACCTGCAACTTGCCTGGATAGACGCGTACCTCGCCAGCTTCGCTATCCCTGTAATTGCAAAATTAACGCGCGCCTCGTACAGGGAATAAATGGAGAGCCACGAAGAAAAATATTTGCGGAGATTCGTGGCCGCTAATACTTACTTAAATCGTAAGAAGACAGCCGGACGTTTGCCCTCTTTGCGATTCAAGTTTAGGACTGGCGTGGGTTCGCACAATTCAGTCTCCTCCAAGGCATACAGGTCGGTGAGGTAAAAGTTGTCTGTATCGAATAATAACATCATATTAATATGTAATGTTAAACGTTTTATTATTAATTCGAGTGAAAAGATACTATTATTCTACTATTTCTTAAAATTTACTTCTTATATTGTGACAATGATTTTATAATAAAAATATTAATTTATTACAAAAATGTTTTGTATAATGATAATTAGCGAGTTCTTATCTTCGATAGTTATTTTTTAATGTAAATTGTAACTTGAAAAACGTAGCGACGCTCGAACGCCAAAAGGCTGAAAAATTCTGTGGCGTATGGAATCAATTTTATCAATATTTAATAATAAAATTATATTTTAATAATAATATTTTATCAATATTCTGGACGTATTTGTTTATTTTACAAAAAAATTCAAATAGACAAGAGGAAAATTACATGTCTATTATTACAAAAAAAAAACGATTTGTGCACACTGTATTTTCTTGAAATATATAATGTTGTTTTTAAAAATATGTCTGCAAAAAAAACAAACAAAATCTAAAGTCCAATGTTATGTTCAATAACGACATATTTTATTTATTTTGGTACGGACAACAGGTACACATGTACCTCTAAACATGCCATTTTTTTGTTTCAAGAAGCAAATATGTGAGCAAAGTAACTCGCGACATTTTTTGTGAGAGCAGCTCACAGAAGCGTGTGTACTTGTCTGTAAATACTGCCAGTGGCGTATTAACCCCAAAACGCGTGAGGTGTGCGCCTAGGGCTCCCGAAACAAGAAACGAAATTGGCAAAATGTGTATTTTATATTTATTTTAGATTTACTTTAAAAAGACGAAAGGGATATGGAACACAAGATGCAACGAGCTGTCAATCACGGGACCACCAAAAATCGTTATTTTGTTTCATTTCACCTTCGTGAATTGACATTCTGCTATTAATACTATCGCTTGCTACGTGCGATATATGTAGATATTTAGATTATTTCCAACGATAGTTTAGCAAAAATTACTTCGAATTAAAAAAAGATGTAATTTTTAAAGGAATAGTTCATTCCGTTTATTTATTTATCTGAATCTTATTGAAAAATTGTCAGACAAATAGCGCCAAAAATTTCAGAAAGAATCACACGCTTAAAAGAATTAAAAAATATATTCCACAGAAGAATATCAGTATTTTCATATTGATCACTTAAATACGTCATGATAAATTATTACAAAGTATAAGTTGTACAAGTAAATCTTTGCAAGATATTAAATCTAATTTGTTAAATGGAACTAAAGTACTTAATTCCTTGTTAAAATTTATTAACGACGCGAGAGGAACAATTTTGAACTTACAGAAAATGCTGCAAATTTACTATCAGAAAATACAAATTACGAAGGAAGTAGACAGAAAAAAAAGATAATTACAATTTGATGAAACTGAATGAACTGTTGGTGTACATTATGACATATTTTACATACTTCTACAAGAAATACGAGAAAAGAAAAAAGTTTACGAGGTTGAACTGGAAGATTTGCAAATATTTATCGACTTTAACCTGCTAGAAGAAGAAATACATTGCAAAATCGAGAATTTGAAGAATATTTACCATAAAGATATTGATACAGAACAGTTTTCAGATGAAATTCATCATTTTTTAAAATACCAGAAAGAAGAAAATATCTTAAACCCAAAATTTATATTCAACGGACTTGAATCCACATGCCCTAACAGTTTTAAAAATATTTATTACCATGTCAAATTGTCGATAAGTTTTCAAAGCAAAACTACATATTGATTGTTTTAAATGGCGCACTGGATTTTTGACTTTGTAGGATTTTTGCTGATGGAAAAATGAATTCAATGAGCAGCTATATTATGACCTTCAGATGACTCTGACTTCAGCGATTTAGGATTGAACAACAAAAGCGTTAATATCGAAAGCTATTTTATTTCAATCAGTTTACAATAAGTGCTCAAAGTGTAGTCCATTTTCTTGCAAGCACAACTCCAGTTGTGTGAGCAAATTACGATTAGTTGCAAATATTAACACAAGATAGCATGAGATCATAAATAATGGTGTAATTAACCGTTACGATTGTTATTTTGGGTGTAAAAATAATCTCCATTGGTTCTTAATCATGGTTCAACAATCTCTGTTGTTCAAATCTAAATTGTTGTAGAGAAGATCATCCGAAGGTCACAGTATAGCAGGTCGTTGAATTCATTTTTTCATCATAACTCTACGAAGTCAAAAATACAGAGTGCCATTTGGAACAGTCAAGGTGCCCTTGACTTTTAGTAGAAAAACAATAGTTTTTCAAATTTGTTATTTTTCAATATCTAGCCGATTAATTAACTTTAATTCAGGACATTTTTTTGTTGGACTGTCGGAAGCACTTATAAAATCCTGGCGACAGTTATGCGCCATACTCTGTATAAGTTACTATAAAAGGAATTCAATCGGCAAATGTCCAACATTAAATTATAACGAAACGGTTGCTTTGAGATATACATATGGTTCTTTTTGTAAGCTTGCTCCTCTCGATGAGTAATCATAAAAAGATATGTACTCGACTAGATATGGTCAAGGTCACTTTTGCAGAAAGTTTCTTTAACAGATCTAAATCGATCTAAAGGTGTGGAATATGTCTCTTTGCATGTGTTGAGTTTTTAAAATCTCTCTATACAAAAATTATATACCATTTATGATACCTCTAATTCTTGTAAGAGGATATAGTAATTGATAAATATGCAACTTTAAGAAGCTGCCTCTGATTCAAATGACCTTGAAAATAAGTCGTCAAGGACATTTCAAAAACAATCAAACAAATAAAGATTTTATCATTTTAGAAATTCGAAGTAATGGAATTTAATACATTGAAGATTCCACCTAAAAGGGATGCTTGTAGTAACAACGGTTTCTTGTAATTATCTCAAAAAAAAAGAAGAGAGCACCTATTATATTTATACGAAAAAGTTGTTCGGTATGATTTCACATGTCAAGGTTATATCAAGGTTATCCGGAGGTGGCTTCCTTAAACTGTGAGATACCAAGTTGATACTAGTTAACTATACGTTTTACATAATTTCACGCATTCGAAACAAATTTAATTTAGAGTGATCTGACAGAAGAACAATTTTCCAATCCTTAACAGTCCAGTCGCAATATCTTTTGAAAGATATTGAACGAGATATTCCATTTTTCTCGTTAATTAGTTGTTTCTTGTCTTAGTACATCGACTAATATTAACAATGTTTTCTCGTCATTAGGTCCAGCTGTAATATCGATTGCTGATTTCGCAATTGATCTTCGTTTTACAATATTATTTATTCCAGTTTATAGTCTTCCGAGCTTATCCATTTCGCGGTAGATTTTTTATTCCACGCGATATCTTTCAATTACATAATTTCCAATGCTTTTCCCGGTGGATAATGTTACATAATGAAATGTCATCGGACGATCTTCGTTCCACCGACAATTTTATCAACATTTCGTGTATTTCAACAAACCTATTTCGAGCCATGTTTTCGTTTCATCAAACGACTGTCAACCGAAATAATAATTTTGGTATTATTTGATTGCAGACGTTGACCGAGTTTCTATAGACTTGTAATAGAAATTGGCTGGCAACTTTTGAACACACCGGGTTACTAATGCTGTAGATAATTACGTATGAAGAACAAATAGCGCTGATTTCTTTGCAGTACCGACACGTTCACACAATGTGCTCTTATACAGGGTGTCCCAACTGAAGCAACACACTTATTATGTACTTCGTTCAACGAGAATTCACACAAAATATAAACACAGCTGCACGGCTGCTCCGCGTACAAGGGCCCTCGATGAGGATGCTCTAAAATTCGTCCCTGAGCATCGTCGTCTAACAGCCGTTCACTCGGCTGCAACCGCAGCACGGATCACGTGATCGGTCTGTTTACATTTTGCGCCAGTCCTCGTTGAACGTGGTACAGTATCAGTGTTTCTTTGACCTCCTGACGAAGCCAGCTGCAATGCTTGATGCTTACAAAACGTTGGGACAATTCTTTCAAACGGTCACGGCTTATACTCGAAACGTTTAAACTGTAAGAACAGGATTCGACGAAAATAAGGTTGGGTGAAACGTCTTTTAATCTTCGCAGCACAGACGGTCGTTGTTATGATCATCATTGTTATTATTGCTANCGAAGTAATGGAATTTAATACATTGAAGATTCCACCTAAAAGGGATGCTTGTAGTAACAACGGTTTCTTGTAATTATCTCAAAAAAAAAGAAGAGAGCACCTATTATATTTATACGAAAAAGTTGTTCGGTATGATTTCACATGTCAAGGTTATATCAAGGTTATCCGGAGGTGGCTTCCTTAAACTGTGAGATACCAAGTTGATACTAGTTAACTATACGTTTTACATAATTTCACGCATTCGAAACAAATTTAATTTAGAGTGATCTGACAGAAGAACAATTTTCCAATCCTTAACAGTCCAGTCGCAATATCTTTTGAAAGATATTGAACGAGATATTCCATTTTTCTCGTTAATTAGTTGTTTCTTGTCTTAGTACATCGACTAATATTAACAATGTTTTCTCGTCATTAGGTCCAGCTGTAATATCGATTGCTGATTTCGCAATTGATCTTCGTTTTACAATATTATTTATTCCAGTTTATAGTCTTCCGAGCTTATCCATTTCGCGGTAGATTTTTTATTCCACGCGATATCTTTCAATTACATAATTTCCAATGCTTTTCCCGGTGGATAATGTTACATAATGAAATGTCATCGGACGATCTTCGTTCCACCGACAATTTTATCAACATTTCGTGTATTTCAACAAACCTATTTCGAGCCATGTTTTCGTTTCATCAAACGACTGTCAACCGAAATAATAATTTTGGTATTATTTGATTGCAGACGTTGACCGAGTTTCTATAGACTTGTAATAGAAATTGGCTGGCAACTTTTGAACACACCGGGTTACTAATGCTGTAGATAATTACGTATGAAGAACAAATAGCGCTGATTTCTTTGCAGTACCGACACGTTCACACAATGTGCTCTTATACAGGGTGTCCCAACTGAAGCAACACACTTATTATGTACTTCGTTCAACGAGAATTCACACAAAATATAAACACAGCTGCACGGCTGCTCCGCGTACAAGGGCCCTCGATGAGGATGCTCTAAAATTCGTCCCTGAGCATCGTCGTCTAACAGCCGTTCACTCGGCTGCAACCGCAGCACGGATCACGTGATCGGTCTGTTTACATTTTGCGCCAGTCCTCGTTGAACGTGGTACAGTATCAGTGTTTCTTTGACCTCCTGACGAAGCCAGCTGCAATGCTTGATGCTTACAAAACGTTGGGACAATTCTTTCAAACGGTCACGGCTTATACTCGAAACGTTTAAACTGTAAGAACAGGATTCGACGAAAATAAGGTTGGGTGAAACGTCTTTTAATCTTCGCAGCACAGACGGTCGTTGTTATGATCATCATTGTTATTATTGCTATTATTATTATTATTATTATTATTATTATTATTATTATTATTACCGTACTTTTTACATTTGATGCATATTTTTCTGTATTTATTGTCGTTGCTCTAACATAAACAAACAGCGGACAGCATCACTGTCAAATGGTCAAGACAAGCCTCAAGCTCTGGATCTGATACAATCCGGACGTGGTATGGCGAGGGTTAGGCATCTATTCCGCAAGATATTACGACAAATTTCCATCTTCGTTTCCATATTGTAAAATATTGGACAAAATTTAACATTAGATTTACGGAACACAAAAAAGCAGCTCTCTCTGTTATATATTTAGTTATACATTAATTTACAAAAATACCAATAAGACATTTATTTTGATTTTTAACAAGTGTTGTTGTAACGTTTGCCGTAAGTAGCATATAAATTGAATAAATGTATCTTAACGATATGAATAAGCGTAAATTTAAAAAATTAGTGACCCGTCATTTTGTCGGGTTCCGTAAATCTAGTGTTAACCTAGATTCGAACTGGTGAGGATACGTCGTTTTTACAAGTTTCCGCAGCGCTTTATGTTTTTCAAGGTCATCGTGATCCTACCGAAATATTTCTTAATATTTTCTTTCAGTTGCAGGATCGAAAGAATCCTATCGAAAGAAATATATTATTTAACGCTAAATATACGAAACCCTAAAAGCGGTTGAGTTGTGTTGTTTCACGACGTCGTCAGAACTGAATTTAATTTGACCGTTCACAATTTCTATTTTAACGTATGCTTGAAACAAATCCAATTATTTCCTACGAACGAATTCTTACAATTTTAACAATCTCGAAAGTAAACGTTGTATGTGGAACCGGTCAACCTGCACGGTAGGTTTGTTATTAAAAAGTCTCGTTAATATAATTAATCATTTCTGAGAAGAAAAAGAAGATTCACATTTATTGTATGGCTACGCTTATTCGAGTGCTTAATAAATATTGATGGCCAGAATTTTGACAAAGACAACAAGATAACGGAATAAATAACATTCGTATGTGACCGGTTATTATTAGAAACCTCGATCAGGAGTCAGGCAAGAGTTAAAGTATCGGCAAGGCGTTAGTATCGGAGGAAGAACCACAGCGATTAGCTCAGCCATTCGCGCAGCTTTTATAGCTTAAAGCGCCGGGAATTATTGCAACAGTGAAAAATTCGATCAACGATTCACGGAGAAAAGCGTTTTACGGATTCCTGTGCAGCGCGTCGCATCGAAAATAAGAACCCGTCCATCGATTATCGGATTATCGGGACGTGAAAAGAAAAAAAAAAGTTCAAAGTTGAACGATGGAATCGGCGAAACATTGACCTGAACATAACGGAAGAATAAAGGCAAGTGTTCTATTATATTAGAAAGGAAAAGATGCCGTACGCACTGGGATCTTTCGTGATGTGAAATGCATGTAGCGCCGCCGTTAGGACTTGTTCCGTGGTGGCTTGCCGGGGCACGGAGATCACGCGAAATATCCGTCGGGTGAGGGAATTGTTGCCGTCGTAGACCTTGATCATCTCTGCAGAAATCGATGGAATCTCTCGGTAAAAGGTCGACCGTAAAGGGTTGGCCGCATAAAACGTATTGAAATACCTTCGTCACCTCTATCTTTGTCTTCTTTTTCTTTCGGTGAACGAGGATCGCGGGTGTGCTGCACGCCGCTCGGCCCCGGGTCCCCATTGTCCCGACACCTCGCGTCCCCGCTGCTGAACTCTTCCGATATGCTTCGCGCTGGAAAAACACAGAGAACATCGGATTTTCTATCAACGAATCGTTGTTCGATTCCCGAGATATCGCGGATCGCACCCTAGGCTCAAGAACAACACACACCAGAGAAATAAACAACTTGGGAATATCAATGTTGAATACGTCTCTTGATTCCTCAACTACCGTTATCAAAACGAAAGAAAGAAAAAAAAGAAAAGAATAAAAAAAACGATGCAATTATATTTAATACGCTTGGCAATCATTACTCAGATAACATTAATGGTGTACGAGATGAAAGCATCTATGTATATAATAGCTAAGAGATACTTTCCAGTCAAGTTCTTTACGGGATTACTGAATACAGGGCTATAGCCCGACCAACGAATCGAATCGGTGAATGTAAACAGAAAGCCTGCGTTACGTTCACGCGAGCGGCGCCAGCGGTCGAAGCTATTGGCTGCGGAGCGCCGAGCTCAGGGCCAACTTTTGCTGGTCCTTTGTCTCGAGGGCCTTGCTTGCAAAGCTTGCCGGAAAGCTGTAACATATTAGGATTTGGTACGTAGCGAGCCGACTCTGCGTTGACCACGCAAACTTCTGTGCATTTACGGACTCGTTTCGTTGGACGGGCTACGGCACAATAGAAAATGTGACTGGCTGAACCTTTAACCGATGATGCTATGATACTATTGTTAAAGCGCTAACGTATTAAACGGTGGTGATTGTCATGATCGAAACGGGCACGGTGTCGGTGGAAGTTACGTGTGAGATGGTCTGAAAGATCAATGCATAATTGTGCTGATGGTGCGAGGATGTAGCTCTTAACCGAGATATGACATAACCTTAACGGATGACGAAACTTTATTTACTGTGAAAGTTCTGATTGAAGATATTCAAAGACCGAAATTCTTCTCGGACAGTTGATAATACAAATATGTAGTCCTTGTTGCGTGGATTTTTAGTTTAGCGTATTCAATTTTACGAATCTCTGACACTGTGTGTCTAATCAGAAGATTCCAACGTGACTTAATAAATGCCATACATTCGATGAATCGCGAACAATGGAATTTCGCATAAATCGTTGATGTAACTTATAGATTATGAAACATCATTTGATGAACAACGATGCAACGTATGCATGCATTATCTACTCGAATCGATCCCCAGCAAGTTCGTCTTATGCACCAAACGTTTCAGACATTTCGTAAAGTGCGACATCTGTGCGATAATAATGCAGCGTTGCTTCGAAAATCTCGATATATTGTCAATTTCATACACTTTCGGATGCTATTCCTATGCTCGCCGATCAGTTTGCACACAATGTAGCCACACGATTGTGTGTTCATGGATTTATATGTTCATTAGAAAATGTTTGGCAGCAGAATGGCATATTGGAAGACCGTGTTTCATGAACTTCGTAACCTTTAATTGTTTACATATATTGTTGGTATCCGTGAACAAATTTTATAACTAATTTTGTAGAACGACATGGTTTATTTTGAATAAGAGTATTTACAAGCTGAGTGCAGCTAACACGATACAGACACAATTCAATAGACATTTTTCTTCTTTCACATTTCTTATATTTTCTTAACATATTGCATCATACATATGTGTAGCTTGCATAATTTAAAACTGTAGTATAGCAAGATCCACTCGACGTAATGAACTCAAATTTTGAGGTACACAATGAGGGGGTGAGATAATGTATATAAAATGTATATAAAATGTTGATTTCGAGTTTTTATTAGTTCTCGAAACATTGAAAAGAATTTTTTGGTATGAAACATGGGGCGCAGCTGAACGTATTATCAATTGTATTAATTATTATTTTATGAGTATACCATATTACCCTTTTATGAATATCTCGGAAATTAATCCTACACTACTAGATCCTAATTTATATAGAAATGGTTGTCAAAACAGTATTTCAAAATCTCTTTTAGCTTCCTACTTTCTAAGTGAAACAAAACATGTCTAAAACTCGATGGGCCAAGCGAGATTAAAAATTTTGCATTAAGTTTCCTGCACCGTTTTGTTCACATTTAAGCCGTAAACAATCTTATTTAGAATAAATTGTGTAACCGAAAGGGTAACAGTATTTCACGTTTCAGGCGTGTAAAAAAAGGGTAGATTAAGGAAATACGTCGAGAATTATTACAAAAGTAACGTGAAAAGCACAAGTTCATTAAAAAACTGTTCGCAGTAATTAGAAATAAAGAAATGTGATATTATAAAAAATAAAACAAGAAATAACTATTCGAAATATATCATTTCAAACTGTTACTTTCAACCCGGTTATTTGACAATAAAGATAATATCGATCCATTTGAAATAATAGCGATTCCAAATAACGAATTAATTTTTGTTACTTTATTATTTCAAATGTGGAGAAAGAAATAATCCCCGAAATGATATGCGACGAAAAGATTTTATTCGAAGAAATCTCTACTATCGATTTGCTCCGGGCAAAACCATTTCTCCGAAACGTTCATTTCCAAGAGATTTCAGACTGGGTCCATCCAATGTAGTCGCACAATAAAATAATCGTTCCGGCGACACGGAAAAGTGGAAGACGGATATTATTCTTTTTTTTGTCCTGACAATTGGAGCAGCGTGCAATGTGCACAACGAGTTTCACGCTTACCTCGGACAATTACGAGATAAAATGACGCGTTGTTTAAAATAATATTTCAAACGATGTTGTTCGGAAAATGATCCGAGGCGTGGAAATGATTACTAAACAATCTCGACCATTAGTCCAAATCATTGATCAAACCATAATCGTCGTAATTAATCAACCATTATTATTGAACGAAATATTTCAAACAATGTCGTTTCAAACGTGCCCAAGTCTGTTCGGTAACACTCGCATTCGGTTCGATCCCATTCGAAAAAGTCTCGCGTATCTTGCTCACCCTCGATTCAATATACATACATACGTTATTTCCTATCGTTATCGGATGACAGACACACGTGTCGGGACTAGTGAATTTCGACGACCCTCGAGATTCTCGATCAATCCAGACGTTGTTTTTTCAAGTTTTTCGAGGCAACGCTGCACGATGCTTAGAAAGTATAATATAAAAATAATGATGATAACAATGATAATAATAATAATAATAATTTTTTAGAGGGCGGGTTTAGCGGGAAAAAATCTTCAACAAGATCCCCGAAGGCTAATAATGGTAACAATAATAACAACAACAGTAATAATAATAATTTTTGGTTTTTATAGCGGGGGAATATAATAGATAGGGGATAAATAATAACAATAACACAACAACAACAACGACAATAATAATAATTTTTTGTTTTTATAGCGGAGGAATACAACAGATAGGAGATTAATAATAACAATAACAATATTAATAATAATAATAATAATAATATAAAAATATAATAATAATTTTTTATAGTAGAAGAATATGACAGCTAGGGGATAAATAATAATGGTAACAATAATAATAGATAGGGGAACAAAAGTATTACATGTACCAGCGCTACAACGCAATCCTTTTTTCGAATATGTAGTTTGGCAAATACATAAATAGCAGCTCTTACCATCGGGCACGATGGGTTTGCAGAACACACATGATAGGGGGAGTTTTAGTCAGTAGTATTCTTGCGCTTCGTTCGCACTGCATAGTTGTGTGATAAGCGTCACGGAACTCGGATAGCATCCAGCGGGCTGAGTGTGACACACAGTACATGCACCGAAGCAACACATATAAACGCATGCTAGAACGTAAATATTTATAACAAAGTGACAAACATTCATAGAGACAGTAAAGAACCGTGGTGCGCGAGGTGCGGTTTCGATTTTTCGTGATAAGATTTTGTTTATTCCTATGCTCGCGCTGAAATGAGAATCCATCGGTTATTACGTTCCGCGAGTCCACGAGCACGGCATGAAATCAAAACAAGTAACCAGCCAGCCAATGTTACGGTTGGAACTATGATTTTAACGCATTGTACCATCGATAATGGTGTTTCAGAATTTTTTTCCTCTCCGATAGACAGCGGATAAAGTGTTAAATAATTAAACACATTTTGCCGATTTTGGGTTAATTCCGGCGATTTTGAGCTAATTTTGTTGATCTATATATACATATATATTTGTATGATATATGTATAAATAATCAACATATATTTGAGCCAAACAAATAATATAGTATTTACTTGGACTTATTGTTAGTATGCTTTTGCAGTTGAATTTACAGTAGGAACAATAAGTTTATAAACATTAGGCTGCCGTTTGTTTACTTACTTTCATTACATACTATGCTCTCGTTACGATTTCATGATACATGATCCTGTCTGTTAAGATGATCGTCTACTCAACGTTCTGTATTGTTTCGACGAGATCATAATTATTTTCAAGAAAATCAAATATTTATGACATCGTGATAGTAATGTGTTTCCACGAATGATAATTAAATGATAATTGCAAAGAACATTTTGGTATTGTTTTACTCCGATTGTTTGACATCTGTTTTTAAACTAATTGTTGCCGTTGAATCGAGCCGTAATAATATTGTTAACGGACGATCGACGACGACCGAGGGCACGATGTGTAAGCAACGATTTAAAATGTACAATCAGTCTAAAAAATGATCGGGGCCGATATCGCAACCGCTGGGTCTGCCAAATTAAACGAACCGTACAGTTTAGATGGTTTTTAATACGTGCTGTTAACTATTGTAATCGTTAACATTTTTTGAAGAGATGGCTCAGCTGAATTGTTATGCATAACCTATTAAAGCCTTTACAATATGTATACGTACACATACTTTGTCGTAAAGTTTAGAATTATATTTTCACCTTAATAAAAATAATTCAACGATATACATAACCTATTAAAGCCTTTACAATATGTATACGTATACATACTTTGTCGTAAAGTTCAGAATTATATTGTCATCATAATAAAAACAATTTAACGACCCATATTAAATTTCGCTTGGTTCACTATATTCATTGAAATTGTATCGTTTCGTTCGAAAGGTATCGCGAGGTGTTTCACTCAAAAGAACGTAAAAGAGAAAATGACGAGCCGCTTGTTTCCTATCTTCGGATGAAAATTTTCCCGCGATGGTCGAAATTAGTTTTCGACCCGCAAGAGATCCTATCGGTAACAAAAGTATCGAAATCGTATTCTTCTGGAGTATCGACGAATATGAAACAAAGGTGCAAAGGTATTGTGAAATTAGTAACAATGGAACATATTAACACTTTACCGACCGATAGCGCGTTAATCGGCTTTTTCTGTCCGACGTTTACCGTCCGGTTGCCTATAAATCGGCTTTTTACTCCGACCACTAGGCTGCGCTTCGGTTGTCGTGGTAACCAATAATTTATCAATTGTTGAGGTAAAAGTGCTAGATTGAACTACTATAAGCTCCCATATAACCAAATATTGCATACCTTTCGCGACGAATATAATATATACAGAATAGGTTAAATAAATATTGTTCAATGCCAATGTCATGTAGACATGAAAATGTTATTAGATTTAATTACCCTGTAATAACAGAAAGCGAATAATATATAAAATAATAATAAAACAAAATTTTATTTAACATTTGTACAAGCGAAAGAAACTGCGCGTACAAGTGTCCGTGCCCGAAAGTCCAAGCCGAAATAAAGCCGATGTCGGTGAAATGTTTACGGCCGAATGACCGGCGAGGCGTGTAGAGGACGTTCAAACCGCTGCCGGTCGGTGAAGTGTTAAGACAAATATACTATGATTTTTGACTAGAAACATGTCAGGATTTCCGAAGCATTCTCAAAATTTTGGAAACATGTTCGGACGATTCGGTGTGCATGCACAAAGAAAATTCGATTCCATGCAATTGAAAACGTTCGTGGATATATTGTTCTCGCAAATCGCTTCCTCGTTCGGAGTACAGCAAAAATCGCTAATAAAAAAAAGAAAAAGGTAAAAGAATCCGTCATCTGGTTCGATTAATAGATATCCAAATTTAGCCCTTCGCGGAAAAAAAACAATATTCTGTTATCGGTAGTCTCTTGTTTAAACGGCGAGTTTTCAGTGAAATTTTCTTTCGCGCAAACGGTGCACACGCTGAAGCTATTGGCACTCAAGCTTTTTATATTCTTTCCTCGAAGAGCGATTGTCCGTACTCGATATCAAAATAATGTATGTAGAACATTTTCTGACAATTTTCACAAGGGGGAAATCCTTCTTTAGGAACAACACGTCGTACACAACAATATTATATACTTACTATATAATATGTAATATCAATTATATATAATTATTATATATTATTAATTATTATTAATATTATAATATAATTATATATAATATATAATATATAGTATTATGTATTACGAGGAAAATGAAGTAGTTGTAGCTTCAATCGGCACAGAAAATTGAACAAAACTGACGATAAAGCGGAAATCAGCGAGACGAACAAAGAAAGCTGGACAGTAGATAGTAACGGTTCTCAAGCTGGGATCCGAAAAAGACAGTGCTACATTCTTATGACTCTAACAGTCATAAATATTTGGGCTGGAGGAATTATGTGCTGCATCGAAACAGCAGCTCCACGCGTCTGCACGTTTGTTCTTTTACGGTTCAATCGATCGCGGGCCAAAAATAGATTGGGCAAAATGGATTGATCGATAACTCGAAGAATCTGGTGAAAAATTGACAGGCTTTTGCAAATCATTTTATTCCTTGATTCTCCACCTGGCTCGATAGAACAGTAGATTTTTCAATATTTTAATAATTTTTTAATACTTTCATTAGGGGAAACTTGCCAAATGCTCGCATTAGTTATCCGAATCGACCTCGTGAATTAATTTCCTATGATCTGTACTTTTTATGTTGCAACCGCTTTTTATCATAGCATTGCGGTGTCTCTGTGCTTTCTAAACTGAATTTTAAAAAATCAGGTAAGATCGAGGCAACTCTTACCAACTGGTTAATAAGCAATATATTTAATATAATGAGCAATATATTTTTAAAGTAGTACAAATCATATTTTCTTGTATATTAATTAAATATCTCATATTCTATCTTATAGTCTTCGCGCGACAAGAAGGCACCTTTTCGTTTATATCCCCCCTAGCTGCTCACAGCTATCGGTCGCTACTGGTCGAAAGTGGTGGCGAAGATCGCCGTCGACCAATAGCGACCGACAGCTGTGGCAGTGGGGCAGCTGGTAAGAGGGGGAATATGTAACCGCGAAGGTGCCTTCTGGCCGCGCGGGGACTATACTCGTGTATTCATCACGCAATATATTTTCTCAAACGTTCCAGGGTACTACGGCGTCGTAACATAGTTTCTCAAAACGTAAATATAAATATAAGGACGGTAATTGAATTTTAGAAACTGCAGAGTTTTTCAAAAATATATATTAGAATATTTATATTTATATAAATTAGAATATTTTCAAAAAGTATTTCGTAAACATTGGTAACGTTAGCTAATTTGACATAATTTCTATTTAATTTCGCGTTAATAGAAACACCGATTGAAATATTAATTTGATTATACATGTATGATGAAATATGTACTTCAATGATATATTTTTCGCGTGAACATGAAAAGGTTATTCGAAATGAACACGTTTCTTCAAGAATCGAAGGTTTCTCGATCGATATTGGCAACTTTCCCCTGCAGTACTAGTTTTTCAATTTTCAGCTCGGTCTGTTTCATTAAAATTGTCAGCTGCGAAACAAGAGAATGCAGGAGAATATGGATATATATAAATATATAGAGATAGAGATAAAGATAGAAATAGGGTGATAGAGATAGAGACAGAGTGATAGAAAGGGGGAAGTGGGATGAAGAGCAAAGTAAGACGAGAAGAAAATAAGCACAATGTGCAGAGTATAGGTGTACAATAGTCACTACGGGCAAGATCTGTTCGTACCGTTCGAATCGCGCTAACATCTCAACATCGATTATGCTCACACAGAGACGAATATCAGATGATGGTAATATTCTAGATACCTTGAACATAAGGAGGGGAAGCATGACAATTTCCACGGCAGCTACGTGGCAAAACTAGTGAAAGGCGCCTCAAAGCTTCGGCTAGGCGGCCTGCAGCCCCAATTTGTTCACTCTCAGCGAAATCGAATTGCTCTCCGATGTTATCTTCAAATAGAAGCAAACGGTATACCGAGCTTTTTTATTACGGTTTACCATTAAAAGTCTGATCTCTACACAATGCCCCTCTCGGTTTGCTAAACTAACAAAGAACGTGTCGTTGTCCGCGATTCAATCGTAAACACAAGCGAGTGATGTCGCGTTTCTCAACCCTATTGTCTTAACCTCTTGCCCTACGATTTAAGTTTCAACAACGTGTACTACAAACAACAAGGTCGGTCACACGCAAAGTCTTTTCACGGTTGCGCGGAACGTCTGAAGTTGTGTCAATCGCACGCGTCTTACGGAATGTAAATACGGTGACTCTCGTTAATATTCGGACACTTTTCGAAATGCAATAGCTTTCTTAGAACTGGACTTAAACAAGCTGAATTTTTTTTTAGATGATAGAGCGACCATGTCTGCTAGACCATAGCTAGAATGCTTTTTTTAGAGGTTGCTATTGCTTAGAATGAGAAAATGAAGCAAAAAAACTCTCGCTTTTAAAATTTTGTATCTGAGCCTACAACGAAAATTAAAAAAAATTGTTTTGTAGATCTCGGTAAGTTATATGCATGTTAAAAATTTCACCTTCGTACGAGCTGTAAACAATCAANTGGCAACTTTCCCCTGCAGTACTAGTTTTTCAATTTTCAGCTCGGTCTGTTTCATTAAAATTGTCAGCTGCGAAACAAGAGAATGCAGGAGAATATGGATATATATAAATATATAGAGATAGAGATAAAGATAGAAATAGGGTGATAGAGATAGAGACAGAGTGATAGAAAGGGGGAAGTGGGATGAAGAGCAAAGTAAGACGAGAAGAAAATAAGCACAATGTGCAGAGTATAGGTGTACAATAGTCACTACGGGCAAGATCTGTTCGTACCGTTCGAATCGCGCTAACATCTCAACATCGATTATGCTCACACAGAGACGAATATCAGATGATGGTAATATTCTAGATACCTTGAACATAAGGAGGGGAAGCATGACAATTTCCACGGCAGCTACGTGGCAAAACTAGTGAAAGGCGCCTCAAAGCTTCGGCTAGGCGGCCTGCAGCCCCAATTTGTTCACTCTCAGCGAAATCGAATTGCTCTCCGATGTTATCTTCAAATAGAAGCAAACGGTATACCGAGCTTTTTTATTACGGTTTACCATTAAAAGTCTGATCTCTACACAATGCCCCTCTCGGTTTGCTAAACTAACAAAGAACGTGTCGTTGTCCGCGATTCAATCGTAAACACAAGCGAGTGATGTCGCGTTTCTCAACCCTATTGTCTTAACCTCTTGCCCTACGATTTAAGTTTCAACAACGTGTACTACAAACAACAAGGTCGGTCACACGCAAAGTCTTTTCACGGTTGCGCGGAACGTCTGAAGTTGTGTCAATCGCACGCGTCTTACGGAATGTAAATACGGTGACTCTCGTTAATATTCGGACACTTTTCGAAATGCAATAGCTTTCTTAGAACTGGACTTAAACAAGCTGAATTTTTTTTTAGATGATAGAGCGACCATGTCTGCTAGACCATAGCTAGAATGCTTTTTTTAGAGGTTGCTATTGCTTAGAATGAGAAAATGAAGCAAAAAAACTCTCGCTTTTAAAATTTTGTATCTGAGCCTACAACGAAAATTAAAAAAAATTGTTTTGTAGATCTCGGTAAGTTATATGCATGTTAAAAATTTCACCTTCGTACGAGCTGTAAACAATCAAAGATCGCAAAAATCGCAGCACGCGTCAAGCTGGTTCCTGCGCCATCTCCTTTAGCTACTAACAGAACAATTAAATGACGAAAACCAAAAAAGTCTAGTCTAACGCGGGCCTAACTCGTTATGTTTATATTGGGTCTGACTGATGCACCACCGCTCTCATTTCTGGCCCGATTTTTTGACCAAGTCTCTCAAACGTGGTTGTAGGGCAAAGGGTTAAAACGATTAGTTAGATTCCGAGAATGTTCTACGGAACAACTGTTGTCAGCTGTCTGTAATGGACGATCATTTATTTGTCGCTAACACATTGTCAGAAACGCAGGGCTTCGGATTATTTCAAAAAGATTTTCACGCTTCCAAATGATCGTCCAGGTTTCTAAACTATTATACGTACATACAGCACGGACAAAAATTGCACGGTCAAATATGTTCTGGATTATTCGATGCAATCGGCATAGTTAACTCGCACGCCTAGACAGGAAGAAAATGTTTTTTTATTTTATTTTCGAATAACAAATTAAAATTGATACTTCGGAAGGATTTAATTAACAAAAACGAATTCTCTCCGATTTTGGCGTAAAATTTTAGTTTTGGCGAAAAATTATTGTGACAATTTGATCGCAAATTTAACTATTTTCAATCGAGTGAGATCGAAGCTATGCACAATAAAAATATAACGATTCGAATGAACCTAATAAAATCGTAATATAAATAGGGAAATACATCTATACGAATAGTAATATTCAGTAGTTATACTAATTTCTATGCAAAAGGAAAAGGGATCACTGTTTATTAGTATATTATTGTTTTTTTTCGTTATAATTTGTATACCATACGGCGATTTTGCTGGTTAATTTTTATCTCGAGTTCAGCTTGTTCTCGATGCTATAATTTTCGGAATTCTAATTCGAGTTCTATTTATATCCAAAGAATTAACGTTTTCCTCGCGATCAAATTCAATTGTTTCGCGGCGGAGATTCTGCCGGACCGTTGATCTGACGTGTTTACAGCGAACCTGATGCAATAAAATATTCATTGCAGTATCATGTTCCATTGTGTCTGTTGTACTTGTACTTTTAGTGTAATTTCACACGAGGATACGCGCGTCACGATACGCGTACATGAGAAAATGTATCGCGGCACTGTGATGTCGTCTGAACGCTTCCATCGTATCGCATGTACGGTCGGCGCTTGTCGTACGCGCATCGCCGTACAAGCAGCCTCGTGTGAAACATGTCTTACGCAGCGCAGTCACTCGCAAGGCGACGCATGCGTGGGGCATCCCGCACGATGGCGACGCGACGCAGAGCTTCCGTCCGATCGTAGTTCAGAATCGTAACGTCCGCACGGTAAACGCGCCGCTTCGCTGCGCGGGACTCCCGCGCATACGTCGCCTGTCCCCCACTCCTTGCGTAGCGATTTTCGTTGCTGCGGTGGTCTTACGGTGTAGTAGTATAGGTAAGGAAGAAAACTATTCTCTAAAGAAAAGTGTGTACGTGTTTAAATGTGTGCCACGTGTTAAGCGTGTACAGTGTCTCGACTAACAAACACATCGAAACGGTTATTTCGGAATGCGTGGCCGTTTAATTAATTGTGTCGTCTTATAATAAATACCGTGACGTTTGTGAACGAGATCATGTTGGAATTATTTGATCACACTGAGAAAACCGAGAACGAATTGTCACTTACACGTGGAGAAACAACGGAGAACATAGAAAACAATCGGATTGGTGTTTCGTGCTCATTTCAGCTACGACAGATGCCGAATTATTTTCGATCGCGCGATTCGTTGCAGGTGCAATTTAAGCGGTCGCGATTGATGTTCGTGGATGCAAAGAACGGGTGTTTTTTTTCTTTTTTCTTATTATTTTTGCGTAGTTGTAACTGTAAAGCAACACGAATCGATATAATAACCATAAATGTAAATACGCTTATTAAATGCACATCAAGGATAGCGATTAATAACAGCGACAGCCACAAAGCTATGTAGTAAACTTTACGAATGTACGCAAACTATTGTAGCCGTTTCGATTGCCATTTTGCTTTTGAACGATTCAAAGGGGCATCATTTACGTGAGGAAATATGCACAACGACCGTTTGGGAAGTGCGAAGTGATTCGAGATTGTGCAGATTTAGTTTCCTACTTGTGCGACCTGATTAAATCGTTATACTTTAGTCAAATAATTCGATCAAATTTTTACCGTTTTCCGAGCAATCGAATGCGAAACAGATTCATAATATGATCTCCTTAATTGAATAAACTAATTTGCACACACACACACACACACACACACACACAGGGATATGTTCGACAGCGTGGAATCTACTAGCATAATCTATAGCAAGCTAATGGATAGTAACTATAAAAGTACAATGAATAATATAAATGTTAAATATAGCTATTCAAATTCAACGTTTTAGCTTGCCCTGCGAATATTCAAAACAATTCTTTCCTTTATTCCTGTAATTGATAATAATTATTAGAATAATTTACAGATCGTACAATTTATATTGTATTTCTCAGAATAAAAAGAAACGCTACGCTCGTAACGCGTCGCGGTGCGACGGAATGCCAAGCAGTGCTCGGAATGCAACATTGGGCTCCGCCTCCCGACTACCGCCGTAGCGTTGCTTCCATCGGTTTACCGCCGCAGCGCGTCGCTCTCCGGGCTGCGGCGGTGGCATTCCGAAGCATTCCGAGCACCGGAGTATAGTGTTCGTTTCTTTAAGAAGAAACATTGATCATTTCGGTAGCACGTAACCGCCGAGAACGCGAGAAACTGCAAGACAGGAGGTACAGTGATCGCTAAAGACAAGTGCCTGCAGGGAATTTAGAGAGAATACATACATACATGTCTATCGACAGAATACTCGGGCGATGTGTGGAAGACAAAAAAGATTCGTGATAGCGTTAAGTTCGAGAGAAACATGAATTGGGAGTTTTCAGTTTTCACTCGATAGATCAAACATCGTGTGCACTGAAAGAAGACGACACCTATGTATACAATAGTACAACCGAGAAGAAGATGATTTTATACATGCAAGAATAGATAGAGACTATCAGTGTGAAAGGTGTTTTTCTTTTTTTTTTTTAAATTGGCTCCATTGGACAGACTGTAAGTGCGGATACTACTGCAGTTTCTCAATGAAGGTGAACTTTGAACATAACCTTTTACGCCAATAAATTGATAACTTGAGCTATAACTATTATTCTTTAACTTGAATATTTACTTATCTCAAAATATTGGATCTCCGAAAGCACAAATTTCATTAAAAAGCGTGATGTCAAGAAATTACGATTACTACGTGTCAAACACTATGGACGTTCCGATTACTGCGTTACTCTGGAATGTTATATTTCCGAAATATATTTGTGCAATAGAGTTTCCTCCACAAATTTCTTGCAAGTCTAACGCCACGTTTTCCTTACGGTAGCATAACCTCACATTTTTCCTTTTCTTTATATCGTTTGATATTTTTCGTTATTTTTCCTTTGACTTCTTTCTTCGCACTTTTCCCATTTTCTTTTAAATATACACACACAGCTACAATTTCTAGGATCAAAATATTCTCACTGGAGCACTTTGCAAATTAGGTATAGGTACTCTGCGATCGAGCGTGTTCGCGCCGGCTCGTCAAGAACTACGCTGTATAGGTTACGATACGCAGTTCGGTAAAGCACCACAATAATGTATTCACACAAGAAAAAACTATGCGCCAAATACTATGCTAGTAAATAATATCTGAGGCTAGATGATAAAGACAGTGTACGTCGATTTTTTTTATCAAATTAATGATTACTTTATCTAAAAATAACGCTAAAATGAATAGGTTATTATTAATTATTGAAATGTAAGTGCCTTTCGAATCAGCGTTTATAGCTGCCATTACGAATAATACCCATACTTAACCTATTAGAAGATCGCCACGCGTGAAGATCGCACGTGTTTCGTTAATTGGTAACCGCATTGTCTGACCATAGTACGCTGTTTCTACTTGCACAATGGAAGGACGCGATCGCTACTATTCCATCGATCGTGTTATATTTTTATATCTATCGGTTTATGTGTAATGCATCGAATGATTACAGAAAAATAAGTAATACGTACTAAGTTCATTTAAAAGTAGGCTACGGACTCTTTTACGCGAGTGAATATTTTTTAAAGAACGGAGGATACGGACATGTGAACTGGGCAGCTATTTACTTATTTTGTGTATGTATCAAAATCCTGCTAAATTCAACGCGACTGTTAAACCGTTAACAGATTCCATTAAATAATTGAACCACATTGGACTAAATTTGAAACGAAATTTGCAAAGTACATTTTCAAGTGTTGCAAAAATATTTATGTAACACTATTTCTACCGAAGGTGTCGAAAGACACCTTTTAGTATTTTCTATTTAACACTATCTTTACCAAAGGGGTTAAAGGACATCTTTTAATAATATTTATAAAAAATACCTATGCTATATGGTTACTATGTTATCACTTCTCGATTTTTCCCATAGTCATTGTAAAATTAATTCTGTAAATTTTATAACAAAAAATATCGGTGAAAATAGTGTTAAAAGTGGAATGACTTTTTCAAAGGAAATCGCTGGTATAAAACGGCATTCAACAAAAAAAAATGAAATTTTCGGAAGATAGTTTAAAAATTCAAAACCGCTATTGGAATCAAATTAAATCAACGAACATAAATTAATACAGTTTGATTTATAATTATATCCAATAATAAAAAAAATTGCAACTATTATTGCACTTTTTAAGATTGCTCGTCTTACATATCTTTTTGTTTGCAAATTTTGACAGATTCTTAACGGATTAACATCCGCAGTGTGTAATCCGCTATGTTTTTACAATTATTACTAAAGAATATGTCTTCTGCTTTATAGAGAAAAATATTGAATTCGACAGAAAAGAATGATTGGTAGACTGCAGATTTTTATGTACATTTTGTATGCAAAACATATGCAAAATATATGGAAAATATATACAAAACATATGTAAAGTAAAAACAAAATATATTGGAAATAGTACAC